TGATGCGAGATAATGTTTGGGTTAGAAAAAGGAGGATTTGGGGTTATAACTTTGGGTTAGATAATGGAGGATTTTGAATGCACCCTAAAGAGCTTGGACTGACATATTAGGCAGTAAGGCATCAATAAAGGTTGTAAGCAAAGGTTTTTTAGTTTTGATAGGATTCTTCTACCTAATTTATTAGCTATTCCTTCTAAATTCATGTTAGTCCCTAATTAGATATGCATGCTTCCTAGGTCTTCATCCAAGTTGTTGAAATGTTCAACAGGGCAGGATAAAGAAGAGAGCCCAGTAATGTACCATTTAAACCCTTCTCCACCAGGGCACTGATCCATTCATCAGCATTTGTGGCTCGGTTTTCAATCTAATAGAAATTCACTGTATTGTGTTGTCATCAGTTAAAATTTCCCTCTGATTTCTAAAGCCATCCTGAGAAACACTGTCAAATGTTTCACTGAAATCAGATCCACACTGACCTCCTATGATACCAGTAGCGAAAACTAGAAACATCTTGATTTCAGTGAACCCATGCTGGGATTCAGTGAATCCCAGTGTTCATATCCAAAGTCATTACCAGCCTTTCACTTAATAATACCACTTAATAATAAATAACTCCAGGATTCTGCCAGAAAATTATATCTGTTGTTATGTCTTTCGGAAGAGGTATATGAATTTCTTGCAATAAAGTAGAGTTAAGGTTGAGTAGAAAGAACAGCAAGGCTCAGCCAGGCGTGGTAGCGCATGCTTGTAATCCCAGCACTTTAGGAGGCTGAGGCAGGTGGATCATGAGGTCAGGAGTTTGAGACCAGACTGACCAACATGGTGAAGCCCTGTATCTACTAAAAATACAAAAATTAGCCCAGCATGGTGGCGTACACCTGTAATCCCAACTACTCAGGAGGCCGAGGCAGGATAATCACTTGAACATGGGAGGCAGAGCTTGCAGTGAGCCAAGATCATGCCTGGGTGACTCAGTCTCAAAAAAAAAAAAAAAAAAAAAAAAAAGCAAGGCTCAGTGCTGAATGGATGTGACAAACTCAAGTTATGATTCAGTCAAAGTTTAGATCTAGTATTTTAAAGAAAAGTAGCATGGCAAACAACAGTAAAGAGTAAGCAGTGACTAGGACTCAAGACTCAAGACTCAGATATGTAGGACTTTATTATCCCACATGACTATCAGGCAGTATGGTCCCAAGGAAGGGACAGTCGTTTAAGGACTGAGCTGGCACCACATCCCAGATTTTCTAACATTTAGCAAAGTGCTCTCTTCCCTGCTTGATGCAGCTGCCCTCTTATGCTGCATCTTGAAGCAGAGAACACGGCAACCAACTCCCTTCAGACTCTAAAATAACAGTTCTCAAAATGTCTGGGAACCCTTTGGGGGATTTGCGAGGTCAGAGCTCTTCATAAAAATATTGACACTCTCTCATGAGTGTACAGTGGAATTTCCCAGAGGATACACGTAGTATGATATTGGAATAAATTCAGAAGCAGATATGAGAATCCAACTGTTGTCTACTAAGCCAAACATTAAAGAGATTTGCAAAAATGTAAAACAATGGTATTCTTTTAGTTTTTTAAAATTTGGGGCAATGGTCATTTTTCACTAAAATGTTATTTATGTTGACATAGGTAGGCTTATTGACTAATTATTTTTAAGTGAATTTTTTAACTTTTTTTTTTTTTTTTGAGACGGAGTCTCGCTCTGTAGATAGGCTGGAGTGCAGTGGCGCCATCTCGGCTCACTGCAACCTCTGCCTCCTGGGTCCCGCTTCAAGCAATTCTCCTGCCTCAGCCTTCAGAGTAGCTGGGATTACAGGCGCGTGCCACCAGGCCCAGCTAATTTTTGTATTTTTAGTAGAGACGGGGTTTCACCATGTTGGCCAGGCTGGTCTCGAACTCCTGACCTTGTGATCCACCTGCTTCAGCCTCCCAAAGTGCTGGGATTACAGCCGTGAGCCACTGCGCCCAGCTTTAATTTCTAATAGAATAAATATTGATAGATATGACTCACTTAAAAGCTATTTGGTATCCTCAGTGACTTTTTTAGAGTGTAATGGAGTCCTGAGACCAAAAACTTTGAGAACTGCTTGATCTGAAAAAACAAGCCTGAAGTCCACCTTTTGCTCCCTGAGGGAAAGCAAGTTGCCCAATCTTTCCAAGACTTTTTCTGGCTCCATAGCATGGAATGATGACTTAAACTACCTGCTAGGGTTATTGCGAAGACTAAATGGGGAGAGTCTGTGTAAAACTCTTAATTCAGTGCATGGTGTATGACTATTCAGTAAATATTAACCATCTGTTATTATTATTGCTTCTGCTATTACTTTACTACTACTATGAGGGCTATTACTCCCTGCTGGTGATGTCTTTACTCGGATACATAAAGAACTTATTCTTTGAACTTGATAATGCTTTCAGGCCATTGCACTTGTTCTTTGCCTGGAATATCTTTTCCTCATTTTTGTCCAGCAAATCCTCGTCATTTCTTCTTGTATCAACTTGGAGCTTCTTTGACTTGGAAGCTTTCATTGACCTCTCAAAACTATGCTAGGTACCCTGTTGGAAGCCCCAATCTTTGCCCCTTTAAGAGCATACCACAGTGTAATTGCTTGTGTCTTTGCTGGCTCTTCCATTGCACTCTGAAAACTCTGAGAGAAGGGACCATGCTTGTTCACTGCTATAATCATAAAGCTCAGCACAGTGCCTAGCAGTTGGTAAATGCTTGTTGAACACATTTTGTAAAAGTCTTCAATATGTCTTCTTGCCACACTGCTCCTTTCATGTCCCAGGGTGCCTAAATAAACTCGATATCCTGAACATTCTTGTAAATCTCTTTGATTCTCAAGTTAGATGTAAAAACTAAACTCAAACAATGATCTAGGCTTCATTTATAATTTTAAGGTAATGGTTAAATGACTTACAGGATGTTTGATTGCACACCTTATATCCCAGGGATTCAGAGTTGTACAGGAGGTAAAGTCTTGGCCTTTGCATAAAAGTTGGATAATTCTTAGCTATGATCTGGGCATAGACTATAAACAATTTAAGATGGAGAACTAACACGGCTAGAGAAAATGCCCTGGATGCCAGCTTGCACCATAACTCTTACCACTATAAGAGGGGAGGATAAAGACTGCTTTCTTCCTTTTAGTTGCCATTCCTTCTGCCATTCATAGAATTTATGTCTGCACTTTTCTCATCCACTGATAGCTGGTGGCAGTTTCAGAATATCTATTGGAAGAGGGGCTTAGAGGAAACAGTCGCATTGAATAGGGAGGTAGGAAAGTTTTTCCTTAGGCTATATTTGTATTTTTCAACTTAGATTGCATGTTTCTTTTGGAGAATGTTCTTGGATATAAGAGGGTGCTAAGGACTTCCAAGCCACCCCCCTGCTAAGAGTACATCTATTTTTAGTGTGGAAACATTTGAAGTAAACGAATAGACAGGTTTGATAAGAGAGGATTGACTAGATCTCTTTTATTATTGCTTTTCACACAGGTAAACCTCAACTCTGCCTGGTGAGCATTAACCAATTCAAAAAAGATCTGAAACTTCAAAAAAGCAGTCAGTGTTGAGAACACATACTAGACTATATTTATTAGTTCTGGGACCCTAAAAGATCAGTATAATCAATAGGAAATAGGCAGCTTGACAAAAGAAAAACCAAACTTGAGGCAATCAGTTTATCACGCACTCATTATATATTTATTTCAGCTATGGACAATACATATGCCGATACCACAGAATAGAAGATGTGACCTCAAAGGGCTTGCAACCTATTTGGGAAGACAAGTAAATGTCTACTAGATTATCATTTAAGCATACTTCCGAGACTAATCTTTAGTGTTCCTTGTTCCTGCTGGTTATTCTCTTGGCCTAATTATGTGAGGAAAACAGAATGAAGGAAAAGGGATGGGAAGCAAGGGCGATGTGGCTAAAAATATTAATGCTCTTAAGCCATGTGCTCCAAATTTAAAGCAATATATTCATGGTTTTAAAGCTGGGACCTGTAACTAACTTCTAATTAGTCCCTCTTATTTTGTAGAGGAGGAAACTGTGGCCTATCCTGCAAAGCACTCTAGCTGATAACCGGTGGCTCTAAAATCAGAAGTCAGGTTCTCTGACTCTCAGTCTAGTGTCCTTTCCATCACAAACAAGTGCTTCTGAAGGTAAGGTAAAATGAGTGGTCTTCCTACGCCTGGGGTCTATGCTAAAGAGCCTTAGTTTTTCCTTGAATGGATAGGATGGAATTATTTGAATTATTTTATTAGACCTGCATTACAAATTTTTTTAGCATGGCAATTTTCATCAATTCTAATTTCTCAGTTATCAAAATACAATTTATTAATGCTAAAATCTCCAGTCCTTATCAAAGGGCAAATTAATTTGAATATCAGACTAATAAATTGTTTTTTAACCTCTATTCACCCATCTCTCCGCTTTCATATCTTTAACCTATTGAATGACTTACAAATTTTCTATTTCACTCTTGACCTCTTTTCTGAATTTCGGTTTCATATTTCAGTTGCTGCATCTCTACCTGTTTTTACTTCTATGACCTCAAACTCAACATGAAGCCAGCTTCCCTTTCACGTATTCCTATTTCTGTCAATGACACCATCATTCTTCCAGTCATCCAGGTCTGAAATCTTGGCATCATCTCTCCTCTTCTTCTCTTCTAAATCTTGCTGCTTCTCTTCTAAATCTTGTGGGTTACCAATTTCTGTGCCCTCTTGCTGAAATATTTAATATTTCTCTCAATTCCATTTCTTCTTCTTCCTTTTTTTTTTTTTTAAAGACAGAGTCTCACTCTCATCCAGGCTGGAGTGCAGTGATGCAATTGTGTTTCACTTCAGACTCGACTTCCCCAGCTCAGGCGATTCTCCCACCTCAGCCTCCCAAGTAGCTGGGACTGTAGATGCGTGCCACCACACCGGGCTAAGTTTTTGATTTTTTTAGAGATGAGGTCTCACTATGTTACCCAGCCAGGTCTCAAGTAATCCTCTCAGCTTGATCTCCCAAAGTGCTGGGATTACAGGCACCACACCCAGCCCATTTTTTAAAAAATTCCATTTCCTACACCCTAACTCAGGTCCTCATGATCCCACAACCGGGTGGTGACAATATCTACCACTCATCCTGGTTCCATCCTAGCAACCCAACCTATAACTATGTGGACTACTCTCTCGAAATTACAGTTTAAACAAAAACACAAACACCCATTTCACCCCTTTGATTCTAATTTTTCACTGCTCCCCGGTGTCCATGGATAATAGAATTCAAATTCAAACTCCTGGATAATGTTGCCCATGCATTGCTACCTCCTCGCACTTTTCCTTCACAAAACCATCCTCCCCAATCAGAAATTTCTTTTCTTCCCAACGCCCACCTTTGGCTTAGGCCTGTAATGGACTCTGGTTCCTTATCTGAATTCTGCTCTGTTAAAGTCACCAACTAGAGCAGCGGACCACGGCCCCTCCTCAAAATTCCAGAGGTACCTACTGATCTTTCTAGGGAGGCAGCCTTCAGACCTGTGTTCCCAGAAATCTCTACGTTTGTCCCTTTCCCAACTAGAGAATTAACTCTTGCAGGGCACAAAACAGCCTCTATTTCTTTGCGTGCCCCGCGCCTGTTTGTTGAAGACTGAGTTGAAGGAGTAGCAGGTGGTGTTAACTCGTCAAAAAGATGCTGGCCAGGGGGAACACCCCCACAGCTCTCCCCCGACAGCAGGGCAGGTGTGCCTGGGGGCCTCGGCGGGTGCCGGGGCGCGGGGCGGATGGTGCCCCCCGGGCGCAGGCCAGGGAGGCCCAAGGGCCTTCCCCACGCCCCGCTCGCCCGCGCGTGTGAGGGGAGGGCGGCCCGGCCGTTCCGCGCCGGGAGGTAGGTGGTGCTGTTGCCGTGACTGTCTTCCTCATTGGCGCCGCGCAGAGAGGCGGAATGTTCAACTCCTGACTCCGGCGGAAGCGTGGGAGCCGCGCGGGCCGCTGTCGTCCCAACCCCCGCCGCCCTCGTCGCGCGCGGGGCCTCCGCGCCCCCGGCTGCTGCTCGCGCCCGGCCTGGGAGCCAGGTAGGGTCCAGGCTGGAGCCCGCGGAGGGCGGGGAGGGAGGGGGCGAGGCCTGCCGCGCTCACGAGTAGTCCTCGCGTCTCGGGGCCGAGGTTCCGCCGGGGCCCGGGAGTCCAGGCGGCCTCGGGATGCTACTTGGGGCTCCCCTCCCGACCCAGGACCCGCGCGGCGGCGGCGGCGGCCGGAGCGAGCATTCGCCGCGCCGGAGGAGTCCTCGCGGGACCTCGGCCGCGGCGCCGCCAAGTGCGGTTCGGGAAAGTTCGGGCCAGTCCCATGGAGAAGTTGGTGCCTGGAGGCGCGGGGCGCAGGCCGGAGCGGCTCGGGATTCCGCGGCCCTGGGCGTGCGGCACTGGCAGGGGCTCTGCAAGCAGCCGAGCCGGCCAAGCAGCGGGTGGTTGGGGCACTGTCGGGAGGGGAACCGCGAGGCCCCCAAATCAGGGCAGGATGCAGGCCACTTCCCAGCACTCGCTGTGCGTGCGAGGAGGAACGACGAACTTCTGCTTTTCTAAGAACTCGGCCGCTAGCGGTGTTGCTTCCCATCCATTTTCTTTCATTCTGTTTTCCTCACGTAATTAGGCCATGCGAATAACCAGCAGGAACAATGAACACTAAAGATCAGTTTTACAAACATGCGTAAATGTATCCAGAGCCACCCAGAGCCGCCGCTCCCCGCCCTTCCTTCCCCAGGCTTGGGCAGCGTGGAGCGCCCGCCCTCTCGGGCTTCCCCCTTTCCTCCCAACGGAGCCCGGGTTGTCCCCTTTGGCGACCCTCAGGCAGCCGTCTTTTTGTGGGCTGCCAGACCTGCACCAGGCCCAGAAGTACTTACCCAGGCCGCCGCCTCGCCTGGCCTCGCTTGCCCATGACAGCTTTCAGAAAACTTTAATTCAGGACTGGCTAGATGACATCCGATTGCCTAAAAAAATTTTTAAAAAGGTTATCTCTGTTAGATCGCCGAAAATGTTATGTTTCTGATGCGCTTTGAGATCGCGCATAAGCACTGTTTATGGGGAACCTAATTACTATTTTTGTTAGTTTCTGTAATAATGAAAGCAACACAATTTAGGGGCCCATTCCAAGTATAGTACAGTAAGCAGCTCTCATTAATAATGGTGTGTGAGAATCGTCTTACAGAGTGAATTTGAGGATATTTGAATTAAGATTGTTGAAAACAGTACCTACTTTAACCCCAAAGCTGTTTTAGGAGAGACTTCTTGTTTACCTGACCTTCCTTGAAATTAACAGCTAGGATTTAGTGGATCCAAACCTCCAAACACGTTTAAAGACAAAAATAAACAAGTGATTCGAGGCTAGTTAATGTCCTCCTTGTAGTAGGCCTATCTCCACAGTGAAATTTCACTTGTTTTTCAATTTTCAAAAAAAAAAAAAAGTGATGGCTGCATTTTAATTATGATTATGGTCATTTGTAGAGTCTTTGTTTTAAATTCCTGCTACTATAGTGAGAGATTTAGGATATTGTAAATGAATACGAATTTAGTTTGGGAATAGAGAATTAAGATAAAAATAGTCTTTTGGACCCCTGCACTGTTTATTTTAATCTTTCACAATTTAATTCTTATAACTTTTTGAGATTATTTGGGGAGTTTTTTTAACTGCAAAATATTGTTGTTTAAATAAAAAAGTTTAGTGATAATAATTCCAGAGTAAATGACCATGATGCAATTGCAAGGACTTTCTTGTCTAAAAAAGCAAATAAATGATTGATCTGTTTTTCTTATTCTTTTAGGGAATATATAAGGACACAGTAAAGAGGGGGAAAGAGAGAAAAATATCCAAATATTAAACACGCGGACTTGGATCTAAAAATGGATGGTCAAAGATCTTGGGAACTAAGGGGACTTCTTGCCAAATAAGGAAACTTGGCAAGTTGCACTGTGCATTTTGACTTAGCACAAGAGTGAGTGTTATTGGCAGTATATTGGCTCAGAGCCTATCTGGAATGAGCAGTGAAACTGACTTCGATAGGGCTACAAAATTATAAGTAGGAGGTATGAGGGGTGTGGAGTGAATAATCCAATCATCAGAGAAAACACTGAAGAAATTACAATGATGTTTCATGAAAAGAAATCAGATGTAAGGTGAAGCTATTGGTGTGGAGTGAAAGAGCAAAATGGACAGTTTATTTTAGAAATTGGTAGATTCAGAAGAGATGAATCAATGTTTTTTGTTTGTTTTTTGTTTTGTTTTTTTTCTTAAACTGGAAAAAGGTGTTGTAGGGATATAGTACTTCTTGGAATAAGATAGCTCTATGTCTGTATCCTGAGACGCTGGAAATAAAAATGAATTTAGATCACTTGTTTTCCATTTTATTCTGCCCAGGACAGATTGACAGGGTGAGTGTCTTGTCTATCTAAATGTAATAGGAACAGTTAAGGCCCCTTTTGGTCTTACTGCAAGGAAGATTTAGGCTAGTCTTTTGGCAGCTATTAACTTTGCCTCAGTAGACACAAATAAGCAGAGTTCCAGCTGTGACCAGAAAATTGTACCTGGTAAGGTAAGAGGACTATGAATGATAGAGCTTAGCTTGATTTGATGGATACATGGGTGCTCTTATATCAGCCCCTCCTACAGAAAGCTGAAGCATCGATTACACCCTAATAGCTGTTAAGTAATCCCAGCACAGTAGAATCTGTGAGAACAAAGCAGCCACACATTTGACACCTTAACCCCAGTGTCTTCAATTGTAATAGGAAATTAAAGCCTCAGATTGAACTTTAGGTGGATGGTAAGCAATCCAGTAATTACTGTAATAAGAAAAGAGTTAGTTTAAATAGGGAAAACAAAAAGCAGATTAGAAGCAAGAGGCAGAATGTTATTAACAAAAAGTCACGATATGGTAGAAAACAATGATAGGACTTTGGAGTCAGGCCTGAATTTGACACAAGTTGTGTCACCTGTAAGGTAGTTGGCTTGAGCTACTTTCATACCCTTGATCCTCAGTTTTCTCACTCATATAAGTTAGAGACAGTAGTACCTGCTTCTAAGGATAAGTACAGTCATATGTCCTTTAATGATGGGTATACGTTCTGAAAGAACTGCGTTGTTAGGTGATGTAGTTGGGTAAACACTGCAGAGTGCACTTACACAAACCTAGATGCTATATAGCCTACTACACACGTAGGCTGTGTGAGATAGCCTGTCGCTGCTAGGCTACAGACCTATGCAGCATGCTACTGTACTGAATAGGCAATTGTAACACAATAATAAGTATTTCTATCGAAAAATAGAAAAGGCACAGTAAAAATACAGTATAAAATATACGGTATCAAAGATAAAAAGTGGTACACCTGTATAGGGCACTTACCATGAATGGAGCTTGCAGGACTGGAAGTTGTCCTGGGCAAGTCAGTGAGTGAGTGGTGAGGGAATGTGAAGGCCCAGGACAGCACTGTACACTACTGTAGACTTTATAAACACTATACACTTAGGCTCTACTAGATTTATTTAAACATTTTTCTTCAATAATAAATTAACCTTAGCTTGCTGTAACTTTTTTGCTTTATAAACTTTAAACTTGTTTTTTAACTTCTTGAATCTTTGGAAATAACACTTAGCTTAAAACACAAAAACACATTGTACAGCTATACAAAAATTCTTTATATCCTTAGTCTGTCAGATTTTTTTTCTATTTTTAAATTTAAAAAATTGTTTTGCTCCTTAAACTTTGTTAAAAACCAAGAAACACACACATCAGCCTAGCCCCACACAGGGTTAGGATCGTCAGTATCACTGCTTTCTACCTCCACATCTTGTCTCACTGGAAGGTCTTCAGGGGCAGTAATGTGTATGGAACTGCCATCTCCTATGATAACAATGCCTTCTTCTGGACACTTCCTGAAGGACCTACCTCAGTTAACTTTTTTTTTTTTAAGTGGAAAGAGTACACTCTAAAATGAGGATTAAAAAGTATAGTAAATACATAAATGAGTAACACTCATTTATTGTCCTTATCAAGCATTGTGCACTGTACATAATTGTATGTACCATACCTTTATACAGCTGGCAGCGTAATAAGTTTGTTTCCACCAGTGTCACCACAAACACATGAGTAATGCATTGTGCTATGATGTTAGGAAACTGTGCCATCACTCAGCAATAGGAGTTTTTCAGCTTTATTTTAATCGTATTGGATCGCTGTTATATATGCAGTCCATTGTTGACTAAAACATAGTTATGTGGTGCATGACTTTATGAGAAAGCACATAGAAATGCTCGTGGCAGTGCATGAAAATTTAGCCACTGTATCAGTGTGGTAAAGAAGGATGTTTTACCACATTTTTCAAGTTATACACAGAGCTGCTTGCCCACTGTCTTAGTCTGTTTTCTGCTGCCAGAGCAGTCTATCACAGCCTGGGTAATTTACAAGGAACAAGGGTAATTTATTTGGTTTATGGTTCTGGAGCCTGGAAAGTCCAGGAACATGGCTCTGGCATCTGGTGAGAATCACCCATTGTGGAAGGGTGGAAGGCGAAAGCAAGCCATGAAAGACAAAGAGAAAAAGTGAACTCCTGAGGTAATTAACCTACTCCCAGGCTAACAGCGAGAATCCATTTATGACCTAATCACCTCTTAAAGGTTCTGCTTCCCAGGACTGTTACATTAGCAACGAAGTAATTAAATTTCAACATGAATTTTGGTGGGCGCATTCCTACCATAACACTCAGCTCTTCCAGCTAAGGCTTGCCTTTGGTACCCTGTCCTGTTCCCAAGTCATACTTACGTAGTGGGTAGGTAGGTTTTCATAACTACTCTCCTGCTTGGGGTTTCTAAAGTATGCTTTACAACCACTTGGAACCATTCTTATAGCTGATTTTGAGCAAGGCCCAACACCGTTCTTTCTGGATTCATCTCCGGGCTTCCATTTAAGAAAACCAAAAAGAAAAGGAAAGAACTTCTGTCTGCACATCATGTAGTAAATCTTTACTTATTAAACTTTTCTACCAAAGTACTCTGTTGTGGGGAAAAATGAATGTTTTCCTTCAAGAATTTGTCCATATAGCCACAGATAACCCAATGCAAGCAAGTACTTGCTTTAAAATTTTGTATTTAATCTTAAAAATTTATGTGGATTTTGCATTCCCTTCTGTCCTTCTCTGTTTTACTTAAATTGAACAAATTGATACAAACAGATACATATTTATTCCCCCAGATCTTTTTTTCTTTAGAAACAGAGTCTTGCTATGTTGTCCAGGCTGGCCTTGAACTCCTGTGCTCTAGCAATCCTCCCACCTGAACTTTCCCAGTAGCTGGGGTTAAGGGTATGTGCCACCTTGCCTGGCTTATTCCCCATAGTGTTAAAGTGAAATTGATGCTGTAGGACAGCTGTTTATTCATATCACTTTCTGCACAATACTGTGTAATACCACATATGGGAATAAGCACACGAGGAACATGGGATTGGTCCTAATAAAGAGTCCTGCACCATTAAGCTGTGCGGCCCAATACTGCATGGGGTGGCGCAATTCCATTTTGCTGATAAAAGAATAGGGGTAGATCATCATCCAAAGAGTTTTGATGTTAGGTGGTTATACTCTGGCTTTCAAGATAAAGAGACCTCTTTGCTCTGGGAATGCGAGGGAAGGAAGAGGAAAGTTTTAGGATAGAAACCTGGAATGTGGCTCTTAGCTTCCCACCCAGTTTGGGAGGAGAAATTGAAGAAGATGGCCAAATCATTTCCATTATTTCCATCACTGATGTGGTTCACTGTGCTTCTCCATGATGTTTGGTGTCGGGTTCATAACTGCCTCCCTCAGAAAAGGAAGGAGACCGTCTATACTTTATAGTAGATTAGTCATCAACTCACAGGGTTGGAGTGGGTCTTAAAGTGGATTCATTCTGCTTTCCTAGCTGATGCAAGTCTCCCACTCCCACTCCACACCCCATGTCTCGTTGAACTCTCTTGGTAGTGGGTCACTCGCTACTAAAGAGGGTGGCAGATTTTCTTGTTGCCCAACTTTAAACCAGGAATCCTCTTTTTTTTTTTTTTTTTTGAGACAGGGTCTCACTTTGTGCAGTGGCACAATCATAGCTTATGGCAACCTTGAACTCCT